TGGGGAGGATGTTTCTTTTGGAGTGGTCCAAGGTGTGGTATTGGGGTTGAGGTTCTTTTTTTTTTTTTTTTGTTGGGGTGATTTCTCATCACCTTGTATTGTAATTTGATGTTTAATTTCAATACATTTCTTTTTTATTTATCTTCAAAAAATCTTCGAGATGCAAAAACACCATGATTGGAAGAAGCTACCCCAATTCGCTGAAAGTATCTCAACTCCCCTATAGGACAATTAATCTTAAAAGTATTATGTCTTCCACATAAACAACTAAAATAGTCAATGAAGCACCACTTGTCCCTATCTCTTTAAGGCACCTCTTAACTTGTTAAGTCATGTCCTTGGCCACTGCTTCAGCCCATGTAGTGAACTCTTCAACCTGCAAACCTTTTTTGCTTCCTTTTTGTAGAAACTTAGAGGCAATTCCATACAAACTTCTTCATGTAAGTCCCCATGAAGAAAGACATTTTTTACATCAAGTTGATATAAGGACTGTAAACTTGAAGTAACAAGTGACAACAACACTCTAATCGAATCCATCTTAGCTATTGGAGCAAAAGTCTCCAATTAATCAATACCATGAGCCTATGTATATTACCTTTTGCTACYAATTGAGCCTGACACCTCTCAATTGAGACATCTGCCTTAAATGGAGGAAAGAAATGTACAACACGAGAGAGACGAGTGATAGGACAAAATGAGAGATGAAATGGGCTGTGGAAGTATGACATTTACCCTTTAGTAATGCAATGTGAACATCAAGATCACTAGTAATAGAAAACTGCATACCCGGATTTAGTATCTAGAAGTAACTGTGATTGGTTGAGACATAACTATATAGTTATAACCAACTTTCTTCAGTTGTTGATACACCTATATCTCCTTTTGAGGACTAGGAGGTAAACTACTAAGAGAATAACTATCATGACTTTTAGAATAAAAAATAGGTTACGGTAAGGGGACATCTGGAGCAAACATTTCTCTCTCACCACTCTCCCCTTCAGATGAAAGATTGGAATAGTATAGGACATCCACAAAGAAGGTAACATCCATCATAACATATTGGGATCCAGATACAAGGTCATAACAGACTTGTACCAATAAAGTCCCCAAATATGAGTAGAGTATGTACATCCAAACACCTTGATAGGAATAGAAAGATCTCCCTTGATGATACAAATGACTAAATGGAGTGTTAATCCTCAAAAGGAGGGGGGGGGGGAGATTCTATTATCAGCACAGCATCTTCCTTTTACTTGATGGAAGATGGACATTAAACATAAAACTCTTGGCAACCTCCAAAATATGCCATTTCCTTCTCTCAACAACTCCGCACGGGGGCAACAAGGCCCCGTGCGGCACTCGATGTGGTCAAGTAAGCCTACGAATGCAAGCAACAAGAAGGCACACGAATTTGTCAAAAGGCACTTTATATTGCATAAATTGGTGGCAAGCACAGGCACACTGTTTAGTGTCGAGGGGATCTCGTTCTTAACCTTTACACGCTACTAATTCACTCGACTACCTACCTCCCCTCAAAGAGTACGTTAAGCTTTTGGGGGAGTGACATAAAGAAACATCAAAATGGTGAAAAATCATACTATAGAATTACAATGGTTCCATTGGCATTCCCCCATACAAAGTACATGCAATACCCCACCCAAGGCACACTTAGACACTCGGATGGCATGTTGTGGGCATGATGATGGCACTTGATGGTGCGGAAAAGTGGCCACTTGTGACAATGTAGTACAAAAACAAGTATTCTAATGAATAATACCATGATCAATAAGACAATCTCAAAATGTCATTTAGCATTATAATGCCTGAAGATTTTTATCCGAATACCAAACTGTGGAAGAAGCATCTTATGAAAATAACGAGTCAAAGTGGGAACCTCATCAAAGAAATGCATTAGGTATAGTTAGGAGATCTGGAGAATCGTCCACAGAAAATAAGAAATTCTTATAATCTCCCATGTGAGGAACGTTGTAAAAACAAGTATTCTAGGAGTCAACTGGTGCTTTTGTTTTTGGAAAAGAATATAGAACTTTGTCAGCTTTGTGGAACTTTTCTCTAAAGATTTTCCCCATTTATTATTATTATTATTATTGTTATTATTATTATTATTATTACTTGTTTGTTATTATTAATAATACTTGTTTCATTTTACAGGAGCAAGAAGGTGCAACCCTAATTGTTTCTGCAAAATTTTCAGTTGTTTCCAAGCGTAACATTTACCTTCAATTTGAAGAGGTTGTTTTCTATGTGAATATGATTCTTTTCGTTGACATATTCAGGGTACACGAATGCAGAACAAAATTGTAAACCTCAACATGCTTCTGTAGATAATCAATATTGGATGTAAACCTCCTTGAAATCAGTTATTTCTCTTAGTATTCTTCCATGGTATTATCTTTTAAGTATGTAGGAATTAATTTTCCTCCTCCCTTCCCCTTTCAATAATTCCATTAAAGCAAGCATGTTGTATTAGAATATACTGACTCTTCTATTTCTCCAACTAATACCATAAAGTAAAAAATTTTGTCTGAGCCTTAACAAGTATGATGTGCTTTCTGAATGTCTTAGAAGAGTACTAATAAGCCATTACTTCTCCTGTATACTTCACTAGTTCATTGATGGGTTGCCAAGGTTCTGGAGTTTGGGTTCAAAATGCCCCATATGATTAGAATTCAGTTTCTTTATAACAAGGATATTGAAATGTTTATGGGCGAGTTTAAGTAGCCTCATATTTGATATTTTTATTTTTTTTCAAAAGTTAATAAAAACACACAATTTAGAAGAATCATAGAAACCATTAAAGGAGTTGTGATTAGGGGTGATCATTTTCAGCCCGGATCAGAATTTGCAGACTTCAGCCTAGGTTTTTTGTGTTCAGGCATGGGCTGGCCAGGGCCCAGCACAAGCTGCAATATATTATTTATATATTAAATATATATCGTTTATATGTTTTATATTATATTATGTATATAATTATTATAAAACAACACATAATATATAATATATAATGTGTCAATATTATGTAAATTGTGTCATATATTTTATACATATATTATAAGTCCTAGGTTCATAACCTCTAGGCCTCGTTGTCTTACTGAATCTAGGTTTGGATTTGAGTGGATCCATATGCAAGAACTATATCCATTCCATTTTTAATATATCCTAAGCCAAATCCAACCCTTTTATCCCATGCAAATTTATCTACATGGATTAGATCCAAATATGAACTAGTACTTTTACTAAATTGACTTTATAGCTAAAATCTTACTGAGTATCTATGTTTCCAACCTATTGTTGACTCTACAGACTACATGTACTTTTGGGTAACCTGCCACCCAACCAGGTTTTTAGGCCAATTTAATCCATGAACCATTTACTTAGCAAAAAAACATTGACTCAGCCAACAACCTTATGATCCATCAGGTTGAACCATTGAACTGTTTAACTTGGTTAGTGAGTCATAGGCTAGATATTAAATCTCTTTCTTTTTGTATTTTTAGGAATTTTCATCATTAATAAAAATATCCTCATTTATCAAACTTATTTGTTTTATATGTTGAATATCTACCATGGGCCAGACAGTTGGATTGCTGACATGGACCCAATCCTTTTTTATGCGCAATATAAATCATAGTTTTTGTTAGAGTGCTCGAGTCAGGGGTATTTTGGTCATTCTGGTTTATCTTCTTGAAAGTGAAAGGTCTATTGTATCTGAGTTTTAAGTTCTGTGTCCCATCTTATATGAGGGACAAAACTGTCTTTCTTGTAACTCCAAGTTTTATGAATAAAATCCAAGTGGGTCGGCTAGGAGGGTGATTTTTCACATTTCTCTCTTCTAG